GCGACCCCTGTGAAGGGTCGTTCAACCGCCAAAGGGGTCGAGACCCACAGGTTGAGAACCGCTGCAAAGATGGGGAAGAAGCAAGCCAAGGTGGGGCTGCTGTCAGCTCACTGGAGAGTCAGAGAAAACGGGCCTTGGGAACAGGTTCAGGGGGTTAGCCTGGGACAAGCCATAGCTGCCCATTGCTCCCTGGTGGCAAGTCTCATGGGGTCCATTAGAGTTTAGGAGATGCACGCCTGTAGGGGAAGCAGAGGGGGAGGGAAAGGTGAGGGTGTGCTCCAGGGAGGGAGAAAGGGCGCTGGGACCTTGGGTTTGAGGGTGTCTAAAGGCTGGGAGTTTAGGGGAGGGCTTAAGGGAGGATCTCAATAGAATCTTCATCAGCTCTTCCAGGTGTGTCCTTTCAGGGTCATGGTCTCTACTGATTGGGCAATGCCAGGTCAGGGGGTCATTAGTCATTGCAGATGGTCCTGGTGTGTCCTGTCTGGCTTTGCTGCTTTTCTGGGCCTGGAGCTGAAATACAACTGAGGCCTAGATGTTATCTCTAGGGAGGAAAGGTCAGGGGGTCTAAACTGCTTGACCAGTGATATGAGAGGTCAGGGGGTCTAAACTGCTTGACCAGTGATATGAGAGGTCAGGGGGTCTAAACTGCTTGACCAATGATTTGCCAGGGGAGGAAGGTCCAGCACTAGTTTTGCCTGTTGCTAGGCATCCGGGACTTTCTGCCCTGGTGTCTTTCTGTACCTGGCTGTAAGTTGCTCGGCCGGTTTGCTCAGCTGTCTATCTCAGTGTTCCCTTTCCACTTGCCAAGGAGTTTTCCTAGCTTCTTACTATCCTGTCTCAATAGGAAGAGGCACCCATCTCAGGAGTTGTTATCCATGTCAAGTGCTTCCCGTAGTGCTAGCCGATGGTAAGTGTGCAGTCAATGTTCACGCCCACTTTAGTAGAAGGGTCATCACAAATAGAAAATATGCAAGACAGGCACTTTTAGGGGGGAAATAATGCTATTTATTTGTTGAGTTGTTTATATCCTGTCTTGGTCCAAAAAGGGCTTAAGGAAGCATACTATCATTAATGAAGCTCGGTGAAATACATTTAAAATAAATGAGAAGAAATGAGGCACAGAGAAAGTTAGGATAGGAGCTAGGAGGAGGATCCATGAGCAAGTTTAGGGCACAGAATGGCAGGCTTGTTCTCTGAGCTTTCTGGAGGCCAGTGGGAAGAGGGTCACATGGTCACGTCTGTGATTCATGGGCTCACAAGACACAAACCACAGGAGAAGCACAGTGCCCTTGATACCAGAATCAGAGGGGAAGTTCCCCCTGGGTCCCCACCGAGATGGCATTACTTAACAGGATGAACATGCTTCTTGACATTTTCCTCCCAGGAACCCCCGCAGGAAACTTTGTAGACTGGGGTGATTTATCCAGTAGGCGCTGGAGATCACAGCAGTGTGTGGGGTCTCTGAGATTTTCAAGAGTCAAAAATGTTTGAGCCTTGAAAGAAATGTTCTCAGATCCAAGATATGAACAAAACTGTGCAATCAAAGCTATGCAAGTCATTTAAACAGAAAGAGTTTCATGTAGGCTGTTGGGTGCCTTTGAATATGTTTGATGTGAGCAGAGAGTGTCCCTCTGAAGTGATAAGAGCCTGGGGCACACAAAGATTTAAAAAGGCCCAGCCGGCGTGGCTCAGTGGTTGAGTATCGACCTATGAACCAGGAGATCACGGTTCAATTACAGGTCAGGGCACATGTCCAGGTTGTGGGCTCAATCCCCAGTGTGGGGCATGCAGCAGGTAGCCGATCAATTATTCTCTCATCATTGATGTTTCTATCTCTCTCTCCCTCTCCCTTCCTCTCTGAAATCAATAAAGACATATTTTTTAAAAAAATATTTAAAATGGTCCTGCCCAGGGTTGTTACGATGATGGTTTGAATAGTGTTCACCTATCAAAGTTGACAGCATCATGTTAAATCATACCAGTGGAAAAAATTCTGGATAAGGTGCATGTAGAGGGCAAAGATAATAGTCTGTCTTTTCTCTTCTTTCTTTCTCTCTCACTCTCCCTTCCTCTCCCTCTAAATCAATAAAAACATACCTTTGAGTGAGGATTTTTAAAAAGCTAAGCATTTTCTTTACAGATCAAAGGATTTTATTATTCTACAACAGGATGGACTTGAATTCCCAAAGCAAGGGCTGCATGGTAACTATTTTACAAGTGTCACCATTATTCACTACTAGAGGCCCGGTACAAGAATTCGTGCACCAGTGGGGTCCCTTGGCCTGGCTTGCGTGATTGGGCTGAAGCCAGCTCTCCAACATCCCCCAAGGGATCCTGGATTGCAAGAGGGCACAGGCCAGGCCAAAGGACCCTACCATTGCACAGCTGGGGCCGGGGAAGGACGTGGGAGGTTGGCCAGCTGGGGAGGGACCACGGGAGGGCTCCAGGGCATGTCTGGCCCGTCTTGCTCAGTCCTGATCGGCCAGACCCCAGCAGCAAGCTAACCTACTGGTTAGAGCTTCTGCCCCCTGGTGGTCAGTGCAGGTCATAGCGAGCGGTTCAGCAGCCTTTGCATATCATTAGCATATTATGCTTTGGTTGGTTGAACGGATGACCAGATGACTGGACACTTAGCATATTAGGCTTTTATTATATAGGATTTAAAAATATCGGTCTATAGTTAATAGCTCCACGCAGCGGGTTACCCCACCCAGGAACTCTGGATACATTTTATATCAGGTTTGCTTTGGAAGGTGTACCAGGAAGTTGCCTTGCTCTGAGCCAGACATTCTGCAGAAACTTTCTCAAGACTTTTTTTTTTTTAATGGTTGAGATAGGTGTTTGGTTACACATACTTTTAAAAAGTTCAGGCTAAAATGTCTGTGGCCAGGCTCCATGGTGGTGGTTGGGTTAGCCAAGAGCATGGGGCTCCAGGGCCTTCACTGGTTCCAGTTTTATCTGTTTTTGCCTGCTATGATTTCATGTGAAAAAGAAGAGGAGGGGGCCGCGTGTTTCCTGAGCTAAAAGATTGAAAGCCAGCAACCTGGAATGACCTCTGTCTATGGGAAGAATACTTTATGATGAGGAAACCTCTCTTGTGATTCTGATAGGCCCTTCTCCTGCCTCTCCATCTTTGGGAAGAGACCACTGGCCTTGAACTTGGAGCTTGCATTTCCAGTGAAGCCACCCTGAGGGGAATCATGGCCCTAACCACACTGTGCCTGCTATTTCCTCACTTTCACGCAGAGATGGGGGTCCATGGCTCTTCCTGCACACGGCTTTTATTTCACAAAACAATGTCAGTCTCTAGTTACTGTGGGACTGAAACATCTAGACCTCACCTGAGCCACAGTTAGTTGGTGGTGGAGGTTAACCTCACTTGCTGCCACTCGGTTATGGGTCTATAATTTGGAGAGGATGAGGAGCACCCCTGTAAGACAAATGCAAAGCTACACAGAGTCCAACTTGGGGATCATGCCATAGGGTTGATGAAGGTAATGAAGTGAACAAGGCTTGGAGCCCACCGTTTGGAACCATTTCTGAATAGGTCCCAGAGTTATTCATTCAGCTTGCACTTAACCCATATTGCACTAGGGGGCGCTGGGACCACTGCCTGGATTGAGGTGGGTTAACAAAAAGAATGGGACTTCCTCATGGCTAAGCCCATCTTCTACTTGGGCCCTGGATCTCATTCCCTCCCATCTTCTCAAAGATGTATTTAATTTCCAAATATATGGAGGTGTTCTAGTTGGTAGTCTATAGAATAAGTGGACCAAATTTAAAAACAAACAAACAGGAAAATATAGAAGATTCAAAGCCTTCCTGGTGCATTGAACCTTCTTTTATTTATTTATTTATGTATTTATTTATTTAAATATATTTCTTTATTGGTTTCAGAGAGGAAGGGAGAAGGAGAGAGAGATAGAAACATCAATGATGAGAGAATCATTGATCGGCTGCCTCCTGCACGCCCCCCACTGGGGACTGAGCCCACAACCCAGGCATGTACCCTTAGCCGGAATCGAACCTGGGACACTTCAGTCTGCAGGCTGACGCTTTATCCACTGAGCCAAGCCAGCTGGGGCGAACCTCCTTTTAAAAGTCATTGTGCTGTTGACTTATTAATAACTAGAGGCCCGGTGCATGAATTTGTGCATGGGTAGGGTCTGGCCAGCTGGCCCCAATGGGGGTCCATTGGTCCGGACCGGTGGGGGGAGGGGCCACAGCGGTTGGCCGGCCGGCCCTGCCCCCAATCGGGGTGTTGGGGGCTGATCAGGGGCAGGGGCGGATCAGGTTGGTTGGCTGTCGCAGTGTGCATCATAGCCACCGGTCGTTCCGGTTCTGGTCCTTCTGCCGTTCCAGTCACTGGGCTTTTATATATACAGATAAGAACTATGTATTTGGTCTTTGCACTGTTTCTGGCACAGAGCTCCGAAAACCCTTAGAATTTCCAAAGTGTTGAGAGCTGACAAAGGTGTCTTTTGTTATGTTAATAAGGTGACTTTTAGACTGCACCTAAGGATGGGGACTGGTTGCCAGGGAAACCAACCACATCATTGGAACTTTCAGTCCCATCCCCTGACCTCTGGGGAGAGGAGAAAAGAGGAGTGGGGCTGGAGGTGGAATCAATCACCAATGGCCAATGATTTAATCAATCATGCCTATGTAATGAAGTCTCCAAAAAACCTAAAAGGATGGGTGGGATTTGGAGAGCTTCTGAGTTGGTGAGCACAGGAAGGTGGTGGGAGAGCAGCAAGCCTGGAGAAGGCATGGCACCTGTGTGGCCCCTCCCCATACCTTGCCCTATGCATCACTGGCACCTGGCTGTTGCCGAGGTATTTCCTTTTATAATAAATTGGTAATCTAGTGAGTAACTGTGAGTAACTGGGTTTTCCTGACTTCTATGAATCTTTCTAGCAGATTAAGCAAAACCAAGGAAGGGGTTGTGGGAATGTCTGATTTATAGCCAGCTGGTTAGAAGTAGAGGTAACAACCTGAACTTGTGATTGGCATTCTGAGTTGGAGGGGGTCGTTGGAACCTCTAATTTGTAGCCAGTTGGTCAGAAACACAGATAACTTGTCTTATTACTGGCATCTGAAGTGGAGGGAAGTCCTGTGGGACTGAGCCCTTTACCTGTGGAATCTGATTCTATCTCCAGGAAGGTAGTGTCAGAATTGAGCTGAAGTCTCAGACACCCTCCTGGCATCCGGTAATTGTTGGTGAGAGAAAGCTTCGCCTCCTCCACACACACGTTGGAATTGGATCCAGGAACTCTTTTCCTCTTTTCACCCTCTTTATCTCTATTAATGCTTTTTGACACAAAACTTACTTTGCTTGATATTATTACTGTAGCTATACCACCTTTCTTTTGCTTAATTTTGCATGCTGTGTCTTGTCCCATAATTTCTTTAAACTTTTCTAAATCCTTATTATGTTTTAGATGTGTATCTTATAAAAATATAGTGGAGAATATTTTAAAAAACTCAGTCTGACTATCCTTGTCTTTGATTTGGCCACTGAATCTTTTTATATGGAATATATTTACTGATAGATTTAGGTTTGAATCTCCATCTAACCAAGTGCTCTCTGGTTTCCCAATGTCTCTGTTGTTCCTTTTATTTTTTTTTTCTCATTGCTTTTGGATTGAGTTTTTTATTCCTTTTGTTTTTCTTAGGGATTTCAGCATGCATTCTTATCGTATCAAAGGCTAATAATTGATGCTCTTACTGTGAATGAATCTATATTACTCTTATAATCAGGAAATAAAATGAAGTTATTACATTTTTAAAAAGAATATTTCATAGGGAAGCAATACAACCACAACAGAGCAGATAAATGACATCTTACAGAATCTGTCTGATTGGAGAAAAATTTCAATGTCAGGGAATCTTCTTTTCCATTAAAAAGAAATCTTAAGTATAAGTTGTACATCATGCAGAGAACTACTATTGACAACCTTTGCTCTTGGGGTGTCCAAGGTGTACAGTAGAACGCACAGACACACCCAGGAATGTTCAAGACACAGAGAAGACGAAATATGAGACAGAAAAAACACATAGCATCTCAGTGTTGGAATGTGACCTAGAGGCCGCCTGCCCCAATCCTTAAGCTAGTAAGAATGCTCTTCTGCACAGAAGGTCATATGTTAAAGAGTTTGGTGTGGCTGCATTTGACCTCTTCTGCCTCTCAAGGTTGTTGCTTGGCTTCTGCTAAAATACCTCAAGTCTTACTTCCTTAAGGCAGCCAGGTCCACTGTGGGGTAGCTCTAGCTGTTAGAGAAGTTAGTTACTAGCATCAAACAGGTAAGGGCATTTTAAGGTGAAGTTAATAAACAATGGAAGGGGAGGGTCTGTTCAGCTCCACGACTCCTTGATTGGCAATTTCTGGCTCCTTTCAATGTCCAGTTCTACTATTTGTGCAAAATATTTCTGTTGGCACAACAGGGCTTGTGGTCAGATTTATTTTTTGTTTGATAAACAGAGATGTGTATTCTCAAAAAAGTAATTTTAAGCTAAGGTTTTTGGGAAATGAGCTGCATGTTTGTGGTCAACATTCAGCCAATTATTTTTCCAGTTTTGTCCACATGAAACTAAAAAGGACCAGAGAGCCAAGTGAGAGATTGTTGGTCCTCTCTTCCCAACACCCAGCTTCTTTCTCACTGTACCTTTCTGGCCACTTCTTTAACTTCCCTTCACCCTCTGTCTCTCCTTCCCTCATCTCTCATGTCCAGGCTGCCCATAGCCCCTTGGGGTCAACACACTCACCCCGAGTCAGGAGTTCTGGATTCTAGTTTTCTGTTGTCACTTCCTGTGTGACCTTGGGGGAAGTCACATAACCTTGGTGATGATGCCAACTGAGAGATATGGCAGGGGCTCTCTGGGAGGGGGACACAAGGGAAAAAATCTAGGGAGATGCTGCCTTCAAGTCTCTTTTTTTTTTTTGAGAGGGAAAAATTCTTTATTGATAAATAGATTATAGTAAAATAAATAAAGTGATTTTTGGGGGGAATAAAAACTCTGAGTCTTAGTGTCTCTCCGCCCCACCTCTAGCTCTTGGCTTCTGCCTAAATACTGGTCTCTCTGAATGATGAGGCCTTGGTGGACATGCCAGCCCTTGGGCCCTTGGGGACCTTCTATCTTCCTGGGCAGTGGTCCAGGTACCATCTTGGACTCGCTGTCCTTAGGAGCAGCAGCAGCTTTGGCTTTCGACCCTTTCCTGGCACCCTGGGCAGTGGCCTCTTTAAGGACCTTGTTCCCTGTCTTCTTTTTGGCTGGGGAGGTCACACCATTTTCACCCTTGGTGACTGTGGGTTTTGAATTCTGAGTCCCAGCTTTGGTTTTCCTGTGGGCCTTGGCATCTGGCTGTCCTTTTTGCCTTTAACCTTTGACTTCCCATGGGGCCCGCTGGCACCAGGAGGGGCCTTTGTGGCCTTGTCTGGCTGGTGGTGGGCCTTCCTGGCCTTGCCCCCTCTTGCCTCTTGGCCCTTGGTCTGGCCATCTTTCTTGGGGGCCTCTTCCTTGGCCTCACCAGGTCTCCAGGGGCCGACCCGGTGGCTGTCTTCCTGGGCTGGGTTTTTTTTGTTTTGCTTGGGAACTAATTTGAAGCTGCCAGTGGCCCCTTGGCCCTGGAGTTGATGCACTTGATGAGGAGGCCGTGCTGCATGCCAGTGTCCAGGGCCCGCTTCGGCAGGTAGTTGAGCCGGATGGCGTCCACCATAGGGTACTTCCGCAGATGTACACCTTGGTGGCCATCACTGAGGTGCCCCGGCGCTGCTCCCCCTCCTGCAGTGCCTCTAGCACCATGCCCAGCATCGGGTGGGTTGTGACAGCATGATGGCATGGGACTGGCTTTAGAGACCCAGACCACCCAGAGGTGGAGGTTCATGGAGGTTAGTGAAGCTGAGGAGATCAAGGTGTCACTGGAGGCCAAGCTCCCAGGAGCCATTGCACAAGCTGACACAGACGCAGAAGTCCACCTTCAATTCTTCGGGGAAGACCTTTGTGTGGGGTCCTCAGGACTCCCACAGAAAGGGATGTGAAGTCTTCTGAGAAACCATGGAAAGACCCTCAGAACCAGGAACCCTATGTTCTGTTTCCAGCTCTGAACTAATTGGCTGTATGACCAAAGACAAATCCCTTCACCTCCCTGGGGTTGTTTCTGCATCTCTACAGGAAAGGGATTGGGCCCTGGCTGGGTAGCTCAGTTGGTTAGAGCATCGTCTGATATACCAAGAATGTGGGTTTGATGCCTGGTCAGGGCATATACAAGAAACAACCAGTGAGTGCATAAAGAACTGGAACAACAAATCGATGTTTCTCTCTCTCTCTTCCTCTCTCACTCTAAAATCAATCAATAAAATTAAAAATAAATAAAGGGGTTGGATTAGGTGATCTCAAAGTTTTCTTCTAATGGTAGAATTCTATGCCTCTGTGCTCAGTACATTATGTTAAAATGAGAAAGAAGAGATACATACAAATAAAGTATTTCCTTATATATGGAAAGTGGGAGCAGAAATCATGCTAAAAAGAAATTCCCTAGTAGAGTCTGGAATAAATATCCTATATAATAAAGAGGTAATATGCAAATTAACCCTCACACCCTCACAAGATGGCTGCCTATGACCAGGCTGGCAGGGAGGTTAGTGAGGGACGACCAAACGACTGAATAAGCAGGCTGTGTGGGGTGACCAGGCTGGCAGGGGGGTTAGTGAGGGACGACCAAACGGCAGGCTGCATGGGGTGACCAGTCCGGCAGGGAGGTTAGTGAGGGATGACCAAACAACTGAATAGCAGGCTGCGTGGGGTGACCAGGCCAGCGGGG